TTTTTTTTATATTTTTATATGTTTTTATATTTTATATTTTTATATAATTTTTATATATTTTTATATTTTTTTATGTAATAAACATCTATATTTGAAAATTATTTAACTTTTAATTTTTTCATTGTTTTTAGATATTTTTTATCAATTAATTATGAAAAACCAAACGAATTTATTTCAATTAAATTTCCAAAAAATAGATAATTAAATTAGAATAATTAACTGATGTTCGTTTGTATTAAAATTTGCTGATTTCATTAAAAAGAAATATATTCATTATTTAGATATTTAATAATTAAATAAATCAGTATATCGCGTATTCGTAATATCAAGCATAAGCGTCAATATTTTAATTTACGAGCAAAATCATGCTATATTATTTCTATGTACCACTAGCTGATTTGAAATCAAAAAAGAAATATTATTCTTTAAATAGTGTGCGCATTTTAAATAGAATTATTGTATCGGCAATTTCAAGTGGCCAGTAGATTTCTTCGATACATGATCTGTAAACATACAATTTGCCACGATCATAAAAATTGATAATTTTCAATATATTTCCATGATAATGCTATATATAACGATAGCATGCTTGCGATTTGATTCGATCATTAACAATCATTAAATTAACCATAGATATTTCTACTCAAAGACATTAAATATATCTTTACATATAAAGTAAATAAATTTTTTTTTATAAAAAATTTGCGATTAATCAATTAATTTTATGTTAGTCTAAACATAATCGAGTTCAAAAATCAATTAAATATATATTATTGTATATAAAAATATTCCGAAATTTATAAAAAATCTTTGCTTAATAAAAAAAGATACAAATTTTCTTCATTGAAACAACAACATGCATTAAATTACAATTTTACAAGGATTAATTTAACTATTATCGATTTTATTATTAAGGCATATTGTTACTTGTTAAGAACTTATATAATTGGATTATGTTTTTGCGAATTATAATTCGAATTCATAATTATCTGAAAATAATGAGCATTTTTCTAACCTCTATAAATAAAAGAAGATGTTCATTACGAATAAAATATTGAAGATAATTGACCACATAATGGAAAAGGACAAATGGAATGCTAATTTACGATTAGTTTAACTATCAAAAGCAACCCTGCATTAAATGGATATCATTTATGTAAGCTCCATTCGTATCCTGATTCTCTCTATAAATAAGTTACCCTGACTCGGTTCGTCTATACGATTTTCGATTTGTGACGTCAGAAACATCATGGAATGATATTTTCGTGCAAGAATGCGAAGAAGCTATTGTAACACGTTTGCCAATAACATGATTTCCTCCATTCTTTAATTCATTCAGAAATATATTTTCCTTGTAGATATCTATTTAAATAAAATGATAATTATGAATTTGAAAAATATTTAAAAAAAAGAACAAAATAGATTTAAAACAAACGAATATTTAATGTATGATTGAAAAATTTATGTTATTTTTGTGACAGACATACAATTCAAATTTTAAGAAATCAATATAACAAAAGAATTATGGGATCTGATACATGTTAATTTTAATAAAATCTTATATAAATATTATATAATGTCAATATAAATGTCTTATATAAATGTCAATTGAATCAAGAATTTTGCGGTCTTCGATTCATATTATTTTTTTTTTTAATTTAAACAATAAAATAATTCTTTTTAGATACTATTTACTTGATATATACTTTTTATTTAATATATATTTTTTAAATTTATAAATTAATTAATTAATTATTTTTAAATTTAATTTAGTTGATTAAAAATAAGTTATTTATTTAAATGATAAATGATAAAATAATGATGATTAAATGATAAACGATAAGATTTACAAAAGAATTTAAATAAAAATTTCATTGTCTTGAAAAATTTACAAGTTTTTATGATAAATTTTTGAAAATATTTGTTATTTATAAAAAAAATCATCTCTTTTAAATATAAATATTACAAATATTATAAATTTATATAAAAACTTGTTAAAAAAAATTTTCTTTTGTAAAGAATATCTATTTATCTCTTTTTTTTAAATTTAAATAAGAATTTTATTCATTTAACACAAATAAATTACAAATTCATATAATTTTTAAAAAATATTTTGGAAAAAAATTTAATAAATATTCTTCCTCTTTTTAAAATTTTTTTTACATTTTTCTATAAATTTATAATTTTGTTTAAATAGAAAAATATTTATTTTTAATTTAAATTATTTTTCTTTTGTTACAATTCATAAATACTTATATAGAAATAAAAAATATTATACATAAAAAAGATTTTTTCCTTATTATTTATTTCTTAAAATATAAAAAACATGAATTTAAAACAATAAAATTGTTAGATAAATCTAATGGAAAATTTTAGTAATTTTAAACATTTAAACATCAATCATCAATTAATTATCAATCATCAATGTTTTTTTGTCAATCATATAAAATAATTTAAGAATATCGCATATAATAAATAATTCTATAACTTTTTATTTTATTATTGATATGCAAAAATGTTTATCAAAACTTTATTGATCTTTGTACTTTATATATATAAAATATGATTATGTATATTTCTTAAAATATGATATGATTCTATGAAATAGAATGATAAATGAAATATGATATGGAAATAATAATATTTATATTATAAATTTATATTATAATAATACAAATAAAAATGAATTGTACA